CTCCTCTCTCCAGCTGCAATTGCACAGTTGGGTTTTTTCCTGTTCTTAAATACATTTTCCCAGAGGCGCTGCCACTGTTGCTGATGGGCTCGGCCTTGGCCAGTGGTGAGTCCATCTTGGAGCCTCTATTGGACATGGGGGAAGCTTCTGGCGGCTTCTCACAGAAGCCAGCCCTGCAGCCCCCCTCTACCAAAACCTTGCCACACAAACCCAGTACACACCTTCTGTGGATCCCCACTCTTCTGGTACTGCAAAGTATATTTTCAGATTAGGGTTTTCAGTACTGTGCAGTATTTCAGATGCACCTGGACGTTGCCACATAATATTATGTTTTGCATATCGCTGTTTTCTGTTCTTTCTGCAGTCTGACCAGCTTTTTTGGTGTCACTTTTGAATTGAGCAATGTACTTAGACCTAGTCCAAGTGATGCTCAGAGTCATTTTCAAATGAGTCAGTATAATTATCTGTTTTTCTGTTAGCTGCATAGGTGTTTAATTCTTTCATCCCTAATATCTTACTTGAACGTGTCGATACTGAATTTCATTTGCCACTATGTGTCTTTTTCCTTAATATGGTTAAACCCTTCTGAAGGGCTTCACAGTTTCGTCAGGACTTGATACAAAAGTATTTTGGTCATCTGCATAATATTCTGCCTCCTTAACTGCTGTGATCTCCCCAAGACATTAATAAGTGTATTATGTATTACGTAAATGATCCTAATGGGAAGACTTGAGGAAATGACTTTTAGACTTTTGTCATGATGAAAAAAGACCATTTAATTCCACTCGATTTCCCTTTTTTTCATTATTTTTTGATCAATGAGAATATTTTGCCACTCAGTCCATGGCTGCTTAGTTGCTTTAGTTGCCTCTCATGAAGAAACTTACCAGGGGCCTTTGAAAGTCGAAGTGAATTAATTCGACTGATTCTCCTTTATACAGTATTTTACTGACACGTTCAAAGAATTCTAATAAATTAATAGGGCACAATCTCCCTTTAGGAAAACTAAGCTGATTGAAATTTATCATACCGTGACCTTCCTACTGTTTTTGCTTTTCATTATCATGAGTTTAAACGATGCACATGCCTAACTTACTGGTCTGTTGTTCTGTAAAGGTTATCCAGGAACCTTTCTGGAATACGGTGTTTTTTTCTTTACAATTCTCCACAGTTCTCTGTGGTGCTTCCCAGTGATAGCGTTGTGGTTTTTTCCTGCAGTACACAGACAAAAGAGAGGAAAGAGTCTTTCAATAGCAAGCCATGGGTATCTAGAGCTCTGTATTTCCAGCACTGAATAGGTTTAGGCACAAGGGGAGATGTGATCTAATCTTGGTGCAGCTCTATTTCCGTTCTGATTTAGCCACTAAAACTTCAAATTATTTACTGTATCAAGTGACTCTTTAATCTATGGCCAGGCTTCTTAAAGTTGTTCCATAACATGGGTTGTGTTTGTATTTTAAATGTAACTGTGGACATGGCAGATAACTGCACTTCTCTGTTTATTGTATAATTGTATACCTTTTGCTGGTAACATGGTTAGGGTTAAAAGTAATTTGCCAAACATAATTTAGGTACAAAAAAATCTTATCTAAAACCTACAAATTATTGTTTCCTGTTTATTGAACTTTTCTAGGTCACAGGGCTGAATACATGACAACAAGGTAAGATATTTTTATTTGACTTGATTTAGAGTTACAAATGTAAGAAAATCTTAGAAATTACAAACTTTAGAACAAGTTCATAAGGGTATATAACATTGTTGTTGCTGCTGTTGTTACATAAATTATGTACAGGCCCTGTGTGTTTTAACATTCAGCATTTCTGTTTCTGCATGCTGATGGGTAAAGGACCAGACTGTTCTTCTTCCTCATCTTGTGAGCTGCTTAGGCCAGTGTCAAGGGTGGGACAAGCTGGGAGATCCTTAAAAATATTTGTGAATTACACATCAAATTTGGAAGTTGGAAGGAGCTTTTTGGTACTAAAAAATAAATATTTTTTCATTGCTAGAGATACCTTGCATCTTATGGTTTGTAATTCGCTTGGTCGGGATACACAGTTCAGAAGAACACGATACAGAGATGAATTTAGGGGATGTGCTGCATCTTTGATAACCTAGCTCTAGACAGGAATACCTGCCTCCCCCAGCATCCATTTATTTGATACTTAAATGGATCTATATATTCACAGAAGAGAAGGAATACAGTGTTAGATCTTCCTGCTTTGTGCAGCACATACTTTTTCAGTTGTGTAATGCCACACCTGCCTCCAGACATAAACACAGAGGAGCATGCTGCAGCCCTCAGGCTGTCAGACTGTGAGGGGCTAATGGCAACTGTTTGGATTTGCGGCTGCCACTTGTGTGTATCGCTGCTGCAGCCACCACCCTTCTTGTCCTGATGACAGCAGGAGCATCCAGCCCAGCTTTCCTGGTCTCACTCTTCCCTTCCCTTTCCATGCAATACATCCTTGCTCAGTGCCTTCTCTTTCTCCTTTTTTGCTTCCTGGACAGGAATGTCCTTGCCACCGCCCCTCATCTTTGAATTAAAAAAAAAAAAGAGTCCTGAGCCATTTGGATCAGGTTCTGTCTCTGCCATTGATGGACCATTTGGTTTTGTATAATTTCTTCTGTCTGGCCCCCATATTCCTGGGGACATCTCTACAGACTTCAGACCAGCCTTTCTACCACCACTCCATGGTCCATTTTAGCTCTGTAAAGTTGGACTTATTCACCTTCTTTCCTTACATGAGCCCAGCTGAGAAGCAGTAACAAATCAGAGCATTCTTTCCAATTGCTGGTATTACTTCTGAGTCCTGTGCATTTAACTTCAACTCTGCCCCCAGATGCTACCAGGAATGCATGGAAGTCTGCAAGCTTGTGTCTCATGAGAAAAATGTTCCTTCTTGACTCCAAAGCAGGTTACTCATCAGGCTCACATCATCCTAAATTCCCTTCTGTGTAAGCAGCTGAAAGAAAATTATGTATTTAGGCAATGATTTTACCTTCGTAAAGTGCGGGAGCAGCTTGAAGCCATCTTACCTCCTGGTGACCAGCTGGTCACTTAGAGAAAAAAACTCTGAGGGAGTAGGGCCTGCTCGTCCGTTCCTCAGCACCAGTTCCCCCGCTCTGGCTGGGACCTGCCTATTGCCCCGAGGTTCAGTTAAGTTTCCAGACTGTAAGACATGCAAACAGAAATGTTCTTCAAAGTCAAGGTTACATTGTAGAAGGGGAGAGGATTTGTTTAAAGATGAATTTAAAATAGCAGATAGTAGCCCAACAGACCAAAGTCCCACCACTTAATGTTCTATGCATTATTGTTCCTCACCACTTGCCCCAAAACATTTGATTTTTTGCTAATTCCTGAAAAATCTATAGAAACATTGGACTGCTGGTGCAGGGGAACTAGGGAAGTGTTGGCATGTAGCATGCTCTGACATTCATAAAATAAATTGTGACCTAGGGAACAACATTTATTTCCTGTAATCTCTTTCAGTTGTAGTCATCACGTGTAACACACTAGGGCAAGATTTTGCAGACCAAAGTTTTGTGTGTTCTTCCTTTTGTTTTTTTTGCGTTATGCTGCTTCTGTTTATTTGTTTCAAGTTGATGATACCCTTTTCATTCCTTTAGCTAATTTGCAAGGTGTTTCTTTTCTTGTGTGAAGATGATTGGATGTGGAAGGCTAAAGGCCTTTAACCTTCCTGGCTCTAGTTGAAAATGCAGGTGGTTTGGTTTTGAAGCATCTTAGGAGTCTGCTGAGCAGCTTTAATTTGCGTTTGAAGGTTCTTCAGCGTGAAGTGACTTCTGCTTGATAAGAGGTGCTTCAAGTGGCTTCTGTTCTGCCGTGGCTGGCAGGATGCATTCCAGTGGTTGCTGCACATTTCATGCATGACAGCAACAAAAAAGGCCATTCAAATTTGTGCAGTGTTTGGAATAAATGTGTATGGTAAAACGGCAAAACAGGGATTCATAAAGAATGTCAATATTTATCCATAAGTAATGCATTTTTAATGGGGGAGTTCTCCGCTCTTTAATCACTGTTACACTTAAATTTGATGGAAAGTCTTTATTTGTTAAATACTGTGTTTATTTCTCCCTTTACAATGTTCTGTTGTTTTGCCATGAGCTTACAGACATTTCATTTTATTGTGTGACTTAATTCTGCCTTGCTCAGTAATCGTATTCCGTTCCCTTAGGCCTCCAAATCTTCCCCCTAAGCCCCAGAAACACAGGAAGCCCAGACCCCGATCACAGTATAGTGCTAAGTTGTTTAATGGTGATTTGGAGTCATTCATCAAGGTACTGGCACCAGCCACCCCAGTGGCTGATCTCAACACTTCTTACTATAATGGTCACCACCTCACATGAGCTGAGGCAGATCATTATGTTTAAATCCGTCCTGGGGCTCTTTTATTTCCCGGTTGATCAATATAATACTTCCTGAAGTCAGAGGGAAAGAAGGGGATTCATTTCTCGTGTTAGACTCCCTATGATTTTGTTAATCAAGTAGGGATAGTATCGGCAGCCTGGTTTTATTAGGAAACTTAGCACCATGTAGAAGATAGGATGTAGTGGTGCATCCCACGACTTAGCATGATTTCCTGCTTGCCATTTTCATTACATTCAGTATTCAAAGTCTGTGCAGAATCAGTATTACCCTGGGTTTGATATCCAGCTTTTGATTTCCTATGACTTTAGGAATTTATTATATTGTGTGAAATTGTGATCACCGCTATTCTGGATCTTGTATCTTTGCTGTATTTACTATCTTCTTCTTTCTCATACTTTTATTTCTAATAATGCTTCTAGCCGAGGCCGAAGGAACTCTCACACAAGACATCAGGTATAGTTCTGGTGACAAAGAGAACCATCTCTGCCTCGCTCTCGGGTTACATTCACGCCTGGCTCAAAATTAGTTCTTTCAAAGACCTGGAGGGAGAATTTTGCATTAAGAAATGAGTGTATGAGTACAGCAGGCAAAACTGAACCAGAGCACAGCTCTGGAGTGATTGTAGTCTTATATGATAGATATTTCCTTATTCATTAACAAGCATCTGCCCATTGCAGTCAGTTAGTGGCTCCGGACACTAGCTGACAGAACTAAGGGAAAGAAATCTTAAAAAAAAATGTAACGATACATTTATAATTACAGTGAATGAAATTCCTGACAGCAAGCTCTGTGAACTGGGTTTGGCTGTTACAGGAATTATTTTTTTGCTCCCTGTGCAACACAGCTAGTGGCATATATTTTGCAGAACAAATTCTGTGCTCAGTGGCACCATACCAGTTTAGCTGTCTTTGAATCAAGCTTTCAGCCACCCTCAGTACAACTATAGGGAAAACTAATATTATGCAGAAGGTGCTATGAGGCACAAGGACTTTCAGGAAATCATCACATGATACAAGAGATGAATGTCATGAAGAGTTTCTTGCGCAAGATGAAAGTAAGCAAAGAAGCAGAAACTCCCACAACACAAAGCCCCTGGATTAGAGAAGCACAGAGCAAGTCAGGAGAAATAGTACCTGGTACCCCATCATTTTCCCTCACAGAAAAGAGGGTTCTGCTACATGTCAGTGTGGGTGACAGTATGGCTTACTTGCAAGCAGAGAGTCCTACATAGTTAGTCTTTCAAAAAGAAAGAGGAAAAGAAAGCTGATAGCCTTATGACAGATTTGCCAGTGTGGGAGCTAGCCTAGGAAAGCATCTCTGCCTAAAGACCATGTCATTCCTGGTAGGGATGAGTCATTTTGACAGGCTCAAAAGGATTACACCTAGTGAAATACAGTATCACACCAAATTGCTTTTTGTTACATTTTTGCATCATAAGAAATTATAATTAGTCCCAAACATACATTCACTGACTACTCACATCAGTTTAAATTCACAGCAACACTAGGGTCACTGTTCTTGACATTTCACCAACACAGACTGTTATTTCAAATTATTTTCCTGTCATTAGATCCAAAATCCAAAGCTGTTAGTTTAGATTATTTCAGGGAACTACTTAACTACAAAGTTGTGCATGGTTCACAACAGATTCTCCAAAACCAGATATGAAAGTAATTTATTTTTTTGTAATTTCTTACTGCAAACACTCTCTTTTCCGAGGCTTTACATTCTTTGCATGAACCAGTGTACTAACGGGAGATATGGGTGCATGTTGTGCATGTTTTCTAATACTCTGCTTTTTTGGAGAGCCAGGCTGCTCAGTGCTGGTGAAGATGGCAATATTCCTGGGTTTAGCAACTTACTTGTTCCATGGGGTTTTTTATTCAGCTGTTACTGAATCATGACACGACTCAAACAGAAAATGCTCATCCAGACATTACTGGTTCTGGGCCAGCCAGTCTTTGCTAGGTCTTAAATGAAAAGACAAACAAGCCACAATTTAAATAGCATAATTGGTGGTACAGTCTTTTGTAAGCCCCACTAAAACAACACAGAGTACACAGAAGATCGGGGGTTAAGTTGTCTCAGGAAGCGCATTGTTTCATTGCTTCACTGTGTGTTATTTTCGAACTTTTTTTAGTAGTTGGCTTTTCTTCTACTTGGGCTTAATTCATAAACTTCCCATTAGTGTAATTTAGCATGAAAATGAAGGACTAGCTTGTAAGAGGAAATGTGTATTCTGAGTTACAGGGTGCTTTTGAATTCATGGTTTTGTAATACAGACTGGTTTTATATTAAACTTTCAAATGAATTAGTCAATTCTCTGAGCGTTTACATATTTTAAATTCATTTGGAAAGAAAAATTATAGCTTCCAAGACAAGAACTTCAAAGGTACCTATTATTTATGAAACAGTAATTTTTCCACCGCAAGCACCAACTTTTCTAAATAATTTTTAATCATATTATTTGTGTCTTTAATAGATATTTGATGACTTGTAGTCATTAGTGTGCTTGGGGTAAATCATCCATTTTTTAAAGTGCCAAAACACACAGATGAAGGACTGTGACGGTTCTTTCAGAAAATCAGCAGTTTAAAAGAAAAAGACAAATAACTCACTGAAAATTACTGTATACACATCTCCCCCTCCCATCACAAGCATTTTTTTCTCCTTTATTAAAACGCTTAATTGAAGATGTAGCTATAGACCTGCTGCTGTATCATAACTGAGAGCAGGAGCTTTGATTCCTGAGCTCTGCCAGTTGCAGGTGGGGAGGTATAGACTGTGATCTCCCTTTCCCAAAACCTTTGTGCCTACAGAATAGGCAGCTGAACTACATGCTCAGCTCAAAGTGGCTGCAGTTCACCACCCAGTGTATTACCAGCTAGTTAGAGCAGCCTGAAACAACATGCCAGGCTGTCATCTACCCTACATTAGGACACACAAATCAGCAGAGCACGTAGGAGTGCTCTCAAGTTAGGAAGGAGACACCTGGTGCCCCATGCAATGTCATTTGGTGGCTCATCTCCAAGAACTTTTCTGATAGTCCAGCAGGTCCAGAAAAGGCCTTGTCAACTGTTTGTGATTGACATTTCTTACCAAAAAAAAAGCGCACCTCAAAGAATTAGCTCTTGTGTAATTAGGTCCAAGTAGGATTTTCTCCACCAGGAAAAGAAAGGTAAGTTAAATGGATGTAGAGGGATTATCTTCATCACGAAATATTGTTCTTAATAATAAACTTTTTAAAAGGCAAATTCACTGCTTTTGCTCATTTTGCTTCAAAAATCTAGAACACATGCATGGGCTAAGATGTCACATAAAGTGTTAGCCAGATACAGTGGCAGAGGTAGAGAATGAAATCTCTGAAAATTTCCCGATTCAATGATTTTAATGAAGAACCATAATCCTTTCTCTCCACCTGTTCCTTTCCCTCCCGAAATGGGAAGGGAACTCTGTTAGAAATTACATTTCTCCTTATGTGTTTTTTTTTGCCGACACTGTATGTCCATTTGGATTGACCAAGAAAATGCATTTTCACATTCAGTTGAGACTAGGGAGGTTTACTCTTCTCGATCTACAGTTAACTCTTTCTGCTCTTGTTTTTCCAGGATTCAGGACAAATCATTCCTCTCATTGTGGAAAGCTGTATCAGATTTATCAATTTATACGGTAAGCTCAGAAACATTCTCTGTCATTTTATTATTGCCCTAGACTTTTTTGTGTATCTTTTGCATAATGCATTTACCACCACAGTTTTGTTTTTAAAATAGAGATTAAAAGTATTTTAAAAACCAGATTAATTTCTTACCACTGTCTCCCATCTTTGCTGCAGGTCTTCAGCATCAGGGAATTTTCAGAGTGTCTGGTTCCCAGGTGGAAGTCAATGATATTAAAAATTCATTTGAGAGAGGTAATTGCATTTTCATTTATTCTGAGCACCTTAATACCTGACATTTAAAAATCTTTTCAATTCTAATTACTTTCTTGGATGTTTAAGCCATTTGTATGCACTTTGTGTACTGCACCTAGAACTTTGCACCATCATATGCTTAAAGATGAAGTGTAATGATGACATGTACATGTTTTTCCCCTGTTATGTCCTAGGAGCTTGAGGTTGTTTTTCATTTTGTTTAGATGAGACATTTGACTCTTGACTCAACTGTAAACTTTAGTCTTTTGTTAATGATAAACTGCAAATTATAGTTTGTCTGTATTTTATTTTAAAGATCCTCAGTAAGGAAAGATTATGGTTTTTAATTAGATTCAAGAGACTACTTAACGCAGTTTGAGAACCCTGTTACTTGATCTTCAGAATACAAGTGCTCAACTTTCTGGTCCCTCTGCTAAAGTGGCATCACGATCAATGATAATATGGGCTGTGAAAGGGTCGTTCCATTTTCAACCACTGTTTTAATTCTTGAAGGAAACTTCAGCCACAGAGGAGGAATTATGGGAAAGATATCAGGAAGTGAAAACAGCTTTTTAAACATGAGTGGCTTGCAACACCCAGCCTAGGATTGCTCTGCTAGGGGAGCCAGGATCGAGCAATCCCCTAATTATGTTAAAATAATACTAGTTAGAATTTTTTTTAAATCTTACATTCTGATTTCCTGGGTCTTAGAAGCTGTTTTTTTTAATTTCCAGAAAAACCTTTTGCAGATCATCTGCTAAAGAGCAAACTCTTGGAGCAATAAGTCTTCTGACTAAAAGCATGAAAAAGTATGCACAGTATTTTTCTTCCCAGGATTAGTTATATATCTTGTTAAACCTGATCCTGTATCTTTGACAAGATACGTGAAACAGCTCTTTTTACATGCTAAGTGAAGCCACATCCTCCTGTTCTTCAGCTTTTGAATGTGTGTTATTGTTAACTGCTTCTTCTAGGTAGTGTTATTCTTGAAGACAGATATATTTTAAAGTGTTTCAGAATAAAGATTAAGTCTTTAAAATTACATGTAGTTCAGTCATGGCTGAGATTTCACTTCGGGTTTCGGTTCCTATACAGTATTTTCACAAAATGGTTGCATATACTCCTGAATGTTTTAATTTTTCTGAATGAAGACAGATTTCCAATTTAAAGAGTTATCTAACTCAATTTGCCTTAAGTAAGCTCCCAAAGAATAGTCTAAGAAACCTTATTCAACTAAAAACATTTGGTTTTTTTATTTTACTAACCATAAATCACAACTTGTCCATAAATACCTAGTTGAAAGGTCAGGACCTAACAGATCACTAGGTTATGTAATTTAAAGGAAGCTTTAATTAGGCTGCCGGTTTTACTTTAATCATAGCCTGGGATTTCTAAATCAGTGTTTATCATCATACTTGAATGCTTGCATTGCCACCTCCCACACACTAAAAACAATAAAAAAAACCCAATAATGTCACTCACTTATAAGAATGTTGCATGCAAGAATGCTCCTGCATGTGTGTTTCATTCACTTTATTTACTTTTTAAGGTGAAAATCCTTTGGCAGATGACCAAAGTAACCATGACATTAACTCAGTTGCTGGAGTACTGAAGCTCTATTTCCGAGGGCTGGAAAATCCTGTCTTTCCTAAGGAAAGATTTAATGATCTTATTTCTTGTATCAGTAAGTAGAAATCTCTGTTTCTTTCTCAATAGAATTTTACTTCCATATATACAGTAGTGGCCTGAAAAAAGAGCTAACTTCACAGATTTTTCTGATATTTGTTTGCCATCTGTAACAGTCTGGGTCAGTTATTAGTCATAGTCACAGCTGTGGTTGTTCCCTTTTTCCAGTGGGATTCATGTACAGTACAACTCTTTGTTTAATAGGGCAGGAAGAATATCTTTTGGTATACAAGAGACTGTTAAATTTAAATGCATTATTATTTTCCTCTGTGCACTGGGGCAGACAGAAGGGGATGAAGTCATGACTGTGCAAACAGAGTATGTTACTTTCCACAAAGATTTTCATGCCCTGCAGCTTGGAGTCAGCGCTAGTGAATAAGTAACTAACTGCTCGACATTGTGTGGTTCTGGACCTCTGTTGTGCTCAGCTTAAAACCCCTGATCCAACTGGCAGCAAAACCCTTCAGTGCAGGAAGGGAGAGAAGCAGCTGAGTGTTGTCTGCAGAAGAGCCGGGTCTGCCTTCCAACACACAAGCTGTAGTGGGATGCCTTTGAGGAGCATTGCACGGGTCTGTGCACTGCTGGTGTTCGCAGCTGGACTCAGAGAAGTTGTAGTAATTTAGGAACTTCTCAGTGGACGAGTTAATTGCTTTGGCATGCACAAAACCTCTTCCAGTTCACAGATCCCTGCAGATGTTGAGGAGGAGTGAGGCCAAGCCAACCACCAGTAGGCTTACTGTTCCCTGTGGGTCCATTAGAAGTGGTCAGAGGTGCTAGCTTTGTGGAAGAATTGCCTCCTTTCAACCATTCTTTTATAAATTGCCTGCTTCAGCCGAATGGAGAGAGACAGTTTCACAGGTAATGAGGGCCAGTCCTCTGGGATATTAATCAGGGCAGGCTCTCTCCAAACCTCTGTTATTTTGGCAAAGGAGTCTCAGCCCAGCAGGCAGGACCACAGATCCATATGTGCACAGTGTCCTGGGCTGGCCATCGGATGGGCTTTTCTGCTCCCTGCTGGGGGAAGCCTACATGTGTGGTTTCCTTCCCACATAGGGAGGATTGCAGTAATTCAGCCTGGAGGTTAAAAATATATAGATCACTGTGATCAGGTCTATGTGCAATATTTTGTGTTTCATTTTTTGCGGGTTTTTCTGCAGCTGTTGCTATTTACAGACTCGGTGGTACTAAGGAGTCCTGAAGGACCTCAAAACCACAGTTTAACAGTCTGAACCCTGACACTGAGGGGGACACTTCCCTACAGGGAAGCATAATCTTGGTTCTGCCTGAGTTCAGCTTTAGCTAACTGTGGTGCCACAGCCCAGAAAATGTCTGCGAGTCATAGAAATTGAAATCTAAAAAGGGATCGTTTTGACTGAGTGATTTTCTGCATGACAGGGATGATGGAACTTTACCTAATAATCCTGCACTGATTTCCATAACTTCTGGATGAATTAAAGCATGTCTGCTGGAAAAATTTATTGATTTAATGGCTTCAGTTGACAGAAAATCTACCACATTCTTGGATAAGCTCTTCAAATGATTAATCACTTTCATCATTAAACATTTGTACCAGATTTCCTTTTCAAAATTTCTGCTTTCAGATTCTGCCCATTGGATCTCTTTATGACTTTATTATTTTAACTAAGCATTAATAAAAATATAAATGATGGTTCTTATATGTGGAGATGGTATTGCACTCTGCTGTGTTCAAGAGCTTTAAATAGAACTGTAAAATACCAAGAACGAGTATTCCATCTTATGGAGATTGTACAAGTGAGTGCTTAGGAGATGCAAAAATATTTGCCCAAAACAACCTTTACAACCAAAACAACATTTAAACTGTGTTCCAAGAAGAGGAACCTGGATGATTTCAAAGAGTTTCTGTTCACCATCAAAGCTTCTGAAGACAGGATGGGGTATTTGGAAAGGGGTAGAAATTCAATGGACTGAGTATGTCATGGCAGCTGCACAGGCAGGAGAGATTCACTAACCTCTCAGAGCATCACTACCTAAGAATGATCCAGTTCAGTTATCCCAAATTGGTCTTTTGTTATTAAGAACTTCAAGAAAAATGGCAATGAACTAGATCCCTAGCATTAGGCCTTGGTTTCCTTAGAGGATATCTGACTCTAGCATGTTCAATGTAGGCAGCAGATTATTTTCTTGTGAAAGAGTTGACAACCTGTTTTTTTAAATAATACTATCATCCAGCAGAGCTGAAATCGGTAACAAGCAATACCCTGGAACAAAGTCACTGCTTTTCACAGCCACGTTTTAAAATGGGACTGTTACTGGGAAAGAGGTGTTGCTATCTGATCCTGGTTTAGACTGGCTATTCTCCAAGGCTGTCGTAAGTCTGGTTTATCATCTCTATGACAGCTTGTCAAAACAAGGTCTAATGACTGAGTAGTTCTGCTAGGTTTGACTTTTGATATTGCTGTTACAGAAGAAAGCAGAGGATTTTCTTCCTGATAATGTGTTGTAAAAGTCACAGATCTGTTTCTGGCAGGTTTTGGAGGAAGCCAGGGGAGGATGATTTCGTTGTTTGGTTTGGTTTCCACAAGATTATTATTAGGGGCACTTCTGAAATGGCATGTCAATGCCTTCCTTCAGTGGAGGGAGGAGAGGTAAGTTTGGAACATGGCAGGACAAAAGGGGTTTTCTCTTTGAGCACATTGGTGTGAGTTTACTTTGTTGTTGGGTTTGAACATGGTGTGAGGAGAGAAAGAAACAGCTCTTGTGCCTTGCACACACAGCCAGCTCCAGAACCGCACACTGGGAACAGTGGGCTGTGTGTCTGCATCTTCTGATTACCTGAGAAGCCTGAGGCGGTGTGTTTTTACAGCTGTGTACCTAGTCTGTGTGCTTTGTTAAGTGGTCCACCACTTCCAGGGAATGAGGCTGCTTGGTTTTGGTTTGTGTGGTTTTGTTGTTGTTGTTTTGGTTTGTTTTTTGTTGTTGTTGAAAAAAGAACAAGCATTTCAGAATATACTACCTGTCACAGTTTGGTTTATATAGCACCTACATGGCTCGTACTATCAAAAGCTGTCAGTCTCAAAGACCCTTTCCGTTGCTCTCTTTTAACCTTAACGCTTTGTATATCTTGCAAAAAGGAAGGCAGTCTAGGCAAGATTTTTCTCCCACTTCAGACTTTGAACCTGTCATAATTACATTAGTTTCTTTGTGCTCACGTGGCCTCACAGATTAAGTATGTTTGTCTTCATGTTAATGGAAGCAGGGCCAGACTCCCTTTCCTCTGTGAGAATGCATGTTACTGCAAATTCTTTAGATCACAATTGATATGTAAAGTCCAGAAAGCTTTCACATTTTTATTTAAGAGGGTTTAAATACTCTTAATTCATATTGCATTCACTGTCTGACAAACTGAGGAAAGGAATAAACATGAAGTTGTTTTTAAATAGTTTTTCAAGATGAATGTCACTGTGGTTTCTTCAATCATTAGCAGAAATTGTTATACAAGGGGGAAGGGAGAAAGCAAATTCATAAAGTTAATGTTCACATAAAACTGTAAAAGGGCAAAATGTCACACATTTTATATGGAAATGTAATGTTGCCAGTGAAAAACCCCTTGAAACTGAAGTATTTAGTTATGGATGTCAAGCATAATTGAGGCTACAGCTGCAAAATGAACCTTTCCTCAGTACAGCCACTGAGGAATGCCTTTGCATTTATGCATATATTTCCAAATGAAATAGAGCATTGTGATTTAATGCTTTCCCTTTTGCAAATACAGAGGAAACAGTGCATAATGACTGTGACTTTTAGGGCAATTTGTATTAATTAGACTCATGAGAACAATGTTATTCTGTTTGGTCTTATGAACTGTTTTAGATAAAATTTGGGCCAAATTATGACTTCTCCACAGCAAGCATGAAAGGTAGGATGGAGCATAAAGAATCCATCTGATTATGGGCCATAATTCTGCATTCTCAGCAAAAGGAGTGGCTATTATTGCTCCCAGCAGCACTCAGCAATCCAGAGGATAAAATAGCGGGGCGGGGGGGTGGAGAATTGCACTGCACTTTTTTCCTGCCCCTTTGTAGAAACAGGTTGAGCCAAACACAAGCGAACTATTTGTAACAGGAGTTACTTGGAGGGAGAGGGTACTGAAGCTGTGCTTAGGACTGGCCGTAATTCACCTTCACTGCTGGGGGACTGCAGTACCTCTCCTGCTGTGAGTTCTTACACACGTGAATTACAGTTCACTTTCACATACATAGCTGTGCAATGCAGCAGCAGACACATCTCAGCTACCCAGACTGCTTAGCTTCTGCTCAGGTCATTATAAATCTTCTTGGTTTCGTCTCCCTTGCCTTCCATTTGATATACTAAGATGCCAGGATACATGAAAACTTGACATCTTTTTTCCTTCTGATTTTCATCATTTCAATCCCTTGCTGCCAGCAGTCCCTGTTTACCTAAATGCACAAATGTTATGAAAGGAAATTATTTTACTGCTTTTCCAGACTATTGCCCATTACTTAAAAAGTAAAAAACTGTATTCTGAATTGTCAACTCTTCCTGAAAATGTTCCAACAAAATGACAACTGTATCCTTCCCTAAGTGACAGTGGAGACCATTGTGCTTGTCCTCCTGTAACGCCTTCTTTAAATAGATCTGAAAGAGCTGTAAGTGGTATTGCTGAGTTACTATCAACATATCTTTGAGTTGGACTGGACTCATCTACCAAAGTGGAAAAGGCACAAATTGTTAACTTCAGCACTAACACATTTTCATGTAGGTTACTTGTCAGATGCAAATTGACCATAAAAACTACATCTGCAAGTGTAACTCAGTCCCATTTGACGTTCAGTAGGTGTGTAAAACACACATCAGGCATTCACTCTGTTACTAGTAGGCACCACACCAAGTGGAAGTAGAAAGTGACCCCCACACAGAAATACCACATTGGATTTTATCGTTCAAAACAGTGGTCCTAAAGGAGAGAGATATCTTATATTACCATTGTTTGCTTTC